AAAAACATATATATATAAAAAACATATATATATAAAAAACATATATATATAAAAACATATATATATAAAAACATATATATATATATATAAAAACATAAATAAATATATATAAAATTTATCTTCTGATTATCTTTCTTAGTGATCCAGCCCTAGAAACACTCCATCATCTCACATTTGATTTCTGTTCAGCAATAAACTTTCTTAGGTTCAATGACTGTCCTTTTTTTACATTGCTTGTTTTGAAGCAAGTCTTTCCTCCCAGGACAGGTTGGGGTGGGGTCCAATCAAAGTGCTTTCCTGATATCTGATAGAGCATTGTCAGTGCTTCTGCAAGCTGGTTTCACAAAGCAAATACAACTGTGCTTGCATCTACGCAAACAGCTTTGAGAAGCAGTGCTAACTCACCCCCTCAAAATGAATGCTGCCGCTGAAAGTATGTTGGGATGTCTGTGATGAAAAACCAGTTCATCCTGTTTGCCTGTAGCGGATGCTTCCTGCTTATCCATATTCAGTTTTAAATATTAAATCTTGAATTGATTTGAGGTACAATTAAAGTTTGGTAATACTAAATATTGAATTTCTGGTATGTGAACATCTCCAACTTCTCTGTCACTAGCTAGGCCAGCAACACACATTATTTACTACCATGCTGGGAGCTTGACACGTCAGCTTTGGGGTCAGTATGGCCAAACTGGTAGTATGGATGTGATACAGTGGTTTTCAGATGACCTGATGATTTTCAGACCTCCTGGATTTGATGCAAACATGCTCTATGATGTTTTCTGCAGACTTCCACCCTTGTGTAGAGCTACAAGAAGTTGTCTGCTTTGCACTCTATAAAAGAGAGCTGCTGAGTCAGGGGCTAGATGAAATAGGGTTGTAGCCTGTGCAATGTGAGCTGGGTTCTAAACATTAGTATGAACTTTTTGTTAAAGATAGGTGGCTTTGTGGAATTGTTATGTTGCATGAAGCATCCATTCATGTGTATGTTCTTTACACTATTATTAGTTATTCAAGGTCTTCCTGATACATTGTGGAGAGGCACAGCATCCTTCCTATGAGTTATAGTCTGTTTAGTCCTGCAGACTCCCTGGCTGATATAGAAGCCTGCAATAATATATGAACAAAAGCAGTGGAAATTAATTGCAAAGTGGTGTTAAAGTTTTACATTCTCTGTATTTAATCTTTGCTTTTTTTCTTTCAGATGTATTTTTAAAAAAATATCTAGAGGGGAAGCTCAAGCTGGGGAGAACTGTGCCCTCTTTTGTGCAAACACACAGAACTGCATACGGAAATGGATAGAAAGGTCAGAGTAGTGCTGAAGACAAGTTCAGTATTCAGAAAGTGAAATTTCCAACTGGTAGCTACCTGCATTTTCTGGACATAGTGTGAATGACTTCTGCCTTGCATACAGATGCCTTAGATCAAAACAAGTTTTCAGAAATAAAAGTATACTATAGCTGAAGGCTAGGGAAAGCATGCTCATATTTCAAATAGGCTAATGCTTTTGTTCCGTGCCACTGCTTTGTGGATAGGTAATAATTCTTGTCTTTTATTTTTGGATAACTGGGAATAGGTAGGTTAGCTTCATCTCATGAAACAAAAAGAAGAAACCCTTGCTAAATCCCCTACAAATGTATTGCTACAGGAGGACTGAGCCACTTGCCTTAGTAACTTTTGAACCTGTGTAGATGTGGTTGTAGCTGACAGTGTTCGATTGCTGATGTCCTTCCACACTGACTTGTTTAGGGGGTTTCATTTAGCACATCTCTGCTGACTTTGGAGGTATTTGCAAACTTCCATGCAAACATTGAAACTTCTGCATGGGTGCCTACAGCTGAAATATAACACAAACCTTGTTTCTAAAATTATTCAGACATTCTTCCATTCATATCTGGAAAATTAAGAATGCAGAAGTGTCCCCTAAAGGATTACAGTCCAGTATGTATAGGTCCTGGGATGTGGGGGATAACTCCAGGTATGTTTATTCTCGTTCTTGCTTAAGAACTACACCACAAGCATCTCCGGAGTGTTCACATCTGCTGCCTAATGCTGGCTCCCGATGCAGCATCTGTACAGACAAAGCGTGCTGCGACCTTTCCCTTTGTCCTGCTGATTGCTGGGCATCTGACGGGAAACTGACCCGCCATCACTGGTGCCTCTGCACTGTCCCATCAGGCCACCATGCTCTGTTGCTAGTCTTCTGAGTTTCACGTCTGAGTGGTAGAATATTTTTCTGACCAAGTGGGGCCGGGCTGAATAATCAGGCTGCACTCACAGTGCAGTGTGATTTCATGTCCTAGGGAAGGTCTCATGGTGAATTGTCAGTCTTCCTTGTGCTCTCTGGACTGCACTTGTGGAGCAAGACCTTCTGTGCTGAACGGCTCCTGCCTTCCTTCTTTGGGCTGGTCTCTGGACACAGAGGAACCTCTTGGCCTGCATGGGTTGAGAAGCATCTATTTCTTGTCCTCTTTGGACAGAGTTAGCAGACTGACTCTTGTGAGATGCACCAGCCTGCTGTCTGGAGTAGCCCAGAGTTGCTGCCCTTGAGGTTACAGTGGTTTAGACGTGTGGGATGAAGGCGTACTTCAGTTTCTGTGGAAGAACTGTCAGCTTTTGTTTGCCAGTCATGAATGCAGGCTGCTGGAGGAGGTCTTGGCCCTCGAGTCCCTCACCCAATTTCCCAATTTTTATTAATTTTTTTGGCAACTGAATCACGTTAGCAATGTGAACTGTATGTTGATATGGCTTTCAGGAAATTCCTGGCTTTTTTAAAAAATAATAAATCTTTCTTTGGCTACTAGTTTTGGTCACCTCTAAGACAACAGCTTCAATTAACAAATATATCTGAGGTCAACTTTAAAATACATAAAAAGAAGTAGAATTTGAATTTGTAAGTGCTTCAGTATTTTTTTCCCTTGGCACCTTTGATTTGTCATCTTTTATTTTTTCTCTGGCTTTTGTGTAGTACTTTATAAATGTCTGAAGTGAGAAGAAAACAGACTTTGCACTTCTCAGTCGCCTTAAAGATGGGATGTGATCTCCTTGCAGTTTCCACCTGATGTGCTGGTGTAATTGAAATTGCTTTTGTTAATAAGTGCAGCGTGAGTCCTGAGGACTCCAGTGGCAAGCAGTGGATGGGTAGCACTTATATCTCTCTGATGTCAGGGCTTTTTATCAGAAAATTGTTAAGAAAATGGTAAAGTTTCCATGTAGCTTTCCTGGAGGCTATGAAAGCTCTGGACATTGGTCCTGTTGTATGTTTCTTGCTTGTATTTTAAAATAATGACTTTTATTTCATGTGTTCTTTTTCTTTTCCCCAGGTAAGAAACCAAAAGCAACCTGCCTTTATTGAGTTCTCAACAACATAATCGACCCCTTGGTACATTATCAAGATGCATTAGGAAACTGGATACAGTGCCAAAAGAACCCCAAGCGTTTCCATGACTCTCTTGGACCCCGACTTGGATACTTTTGGATATATATTTCTGTTCTAAGAAGAAGAGTGTGTACTCCAATTCCCTTCTGCCAGCTTGCTGGCAGAGATATTTCACTAAGATCATGGACCATCCTAATAGGGAAAAGGATGAAAGGCAGCGGACAACAAAAGGAATGCCGGGAAGGAGCGGGCATGGTTCTCGACCAAGTTCATCGGCATCTTCTGGCGTTCTTATGGTGGGACCCAACTTCAGAGTTGGCAAGAAGATTGGGTGTGGGAACTTTGGAGAACTCAGACTAGGTGAGTATTAACTGTTTTAGTGGCCTGTATTATCCAGATTATCATTTCACCACTGGAATATAAATACATAAAAACTTAACCTGGCTTGAGAAATGCCTGTGCTTTTCTTGTTTCCCAAGCATTGAACTGCCTTACCTGAAGCTTCTGACTCAGATGTAACTGTTAACTTATTTTTATTTGCATAAAGTCAAAGTGAATACACCAGAGAGGCCAAAGATGCAAATTCTGAACAATCCCAACAATGAAGACTCTTCTCAGCACTGAATGTCTGGCCGAAGGTGAAAAAATCTTAACTGCCTGGATTGTTAAATCTCGCTCTCAAGTTTCTGTTCATAAGCTAGGGCGCCCTATTAAATTAATGGGTGAGACTCTTTCCCAGCACTCGGCAACATCTTCTCTATTCCACGTCCCTCACTAACCTCGGTGCCCTAGTTTCAGTCCCATCACCTGCTCCCTGATCTGTCCCATGAGTTTGACTCGCTGGCTGGCGAAGAGCGGGATGTGCCCACTGGCCATCTGGCTGCTGCCTGTCAGCCACTGAACTGGCCTGTCAGCCCCTGATTTTTCGTGGTCCGTTGGTCTTCTAACCACATGTCTTGCAGCTGGTTGCCCAAACAGATGGCTATGCTAATGCATTGTTTGCTTAGGATGACTTAAGAGCCCAGTGCATTGTGCTTCAGTGCATTGGGCTCTTAAGTCATCCTAAACAAACAATGGCTGTTTTATAAATGAGCTGGAGGAAGCAGCCAGTGTTTTTAATTACATGCCTCTGAGCTCCCTATATGTCGTTTTGGTGTGATTGCTGTCAATCAGAAGCAGCACTTTGTGATGGTCTCGATCCTGACTTACTTAAAACAGTTGTGTTTCTCCACTACTGCTGAATGAGTTGAACTGCTGTGGTAGTGAACTTGAGGGTACTCAAAACAGGTTGGCTGACATAAATATTTGCCCCCAAATTGGTAGGTATTTAGAACTGAAATTAAAATCATTTGTGAATAAGGCACAAGGGATGATAAATCCGTCAGTTGGGAAATTGCTTCAGGTAACCAAAGGGTTATAACACCTAACTACTGATAGATCTTAGATTAATATATGTAATCTTTCATTCTAGGATTTAGTTATTGCATCTATATGATGTGCCACTTGTCAACAGTGTGGAGATTAACCAGCTTGCTTATAATATGTCTCAGTAAACAAGTGGTTTGGTTTCAGCATTACATCACATAAGTTTTATTGATTTGTAGGAGCAGAGATAATGCTCCAAAGGTGGAGAGAAACCAAGGGCAGGGACCAAAACTCCCACCTTCATGAACATGAGCACATGAGCATAGTTGGCAGCTGAAGATAAGTTTAGATCCTTACAGTAACATAACATAAATAGCTGTATTGCATTTTCAAAGGCCTCCCAACAGCAAATGTCATGATAGCAAGATCATGGAGATGTTGAATTCCTTGGTAATCTAAGCTCTTATTTGAGGTTCAGCAGCTGTAGTGGATCCCTCCAGGTATACAGCTCTTGCACGTATTCAGCTGGTTTCCAGATGCTGATCCTGTTTCCATGGTGGTTCTTTTTCACATTTCAAAATTTTAGTGGTATTGGATTTCTGACTAATGTATTGTTTCAAAGTACAGGCTTCACACAAGATTTCACTTCTGAAAAGGTCAGTTTATAGAGAAATTCAGTTTTAACCATGGAAACAAACACCTTTTAATTAAGGGCCTCTTTTTTCGGTACACTTGTAAATGTTTTGCTAATATTGGTTAATACAGCATGCTGTATTGAGCAACGAGCCATATGTACTGATAACAGCAATTAGGTGTAAGGTCCTAATAAAAGCTGTATTATTGTTGGTTTTTTGCCAGTCACTGTAGCTTTAAGAACTCCTGTTTGCTCAAATATCAGATATTTCTATTGCACAGATGTGATGCTGATTATCGCTGGGGGGAAGGAGAAGCAGCATGTCTGAAATATGAGCAAGCAAGTCTCTGATAACACTTTTGTCCTGCAAAGATGAATGGCATACCCTCTGCTTTTTGGCTTTTCTTATGTGATTTTGGAGAAGTTAAGCACTAGCGAATGCTTTAAGTAACACAGGAAGAACAAAGTCATGCACTGATAAACAAGGTGGAAAATATATAATTTTTTTTCCAATTCCCCAAAGAATGTATCTTTTTTCAGGTGTTGTGTTTTCACTCTAAGCTGCTCTTGTATTGCACACCAATGCCAGACAGAGGACTGATTGTTCAGGGAGGAGATGGCATGTACGCGCAGAAGCTGTTTTCTGCAAATATCAAGCTCACTGCTTAGGGTTGATCTTGCTTGCTGCAAATACAGATAGCCCCGGGGATATTACTCTTTTTGAAGCACGTGGGAGCAGCACCGTTGGATTCCAGCCCACAGAGGAGCTGAAATGGGGAGATGAACACAAAACTCAGTGTCTGGCCCAGAGCAATAAAATGGAACAAGGTTAACAGATTACTATTTCTCTGGACAGGTTGCAGATTGTGTTCTATAAGAGCTTTGGTTTCCGAAGTGGCTGAACCCACTAGCAGGGGTATGGTATCAGCAAAGAGCAGGAGATCTTGCTTGCTGTCCGTGGGCTGGACTCTGCATTCTTACGGGGTTTCATTGCCTTTCGTGCAGTACCAAGCCCTGTCCTGCAGCTCCCAGTTATCTGCCAAGTCAGTTCTCAAGCTGCCTTAGGAGCTGGAGCACACCTGAAGTTTTATAGTGTAACTTCTGCCATGACGAGGTCCTACATCTTCACCCCGAGCTGATAGGAGAACCAGCATTAAGTAAAACAGACTGAGAAACAAGCTCACTGAGCTGTAAAATCATGTAATGTCAGGTGTTCACTGCTCAGGAAGAATGGGATTTAAGCTGTTAAATCTAGTGCTGTGACAGCCACGGCTGTAAACTTCACTGTAGAAAAGATATCGCCATCTGAGCCTACGAATTGTCACCTTATTCATGGACTTACCTACTGGGTATGTATTGTATTTACCTGAAATCCTGAACCATGAGCCATGTTAGAGATAAATAAGCCTCTTCAAATGTCTCATTTTCCCCCTGTTGGCACCCTTATTTAGTCAAGCAATTAAATAAGTAGTAATGTAAAATTATCCCAGTTTCAGTAGGTTGGAGGGTTTTCTAAAAGAAGCATTAAGTTCTGGAGAGAGCAGGGCCTTATTTTAATGCAGAGCTGTAGGTTGGAGCCCAAATCTTTCTGCTCTAATGCAAACATTATCTGGCGCTTTCAAAACTGTGTTTAATTATTATATCATTTAAAAATGACAGTGCACCTTTTCTCCCTACTTAGAGGGGGGGAAAAAAAAACATGTTAGGAGGGCTAGATCCTGTACACTGCTTGTATCCTCCCTTTGTAGGCTACTTGAACAAAAGGGATTTTTGGAGAAGTCTGTGCTTTCATGTGCTACCCAAAGAAATTGCAAAGTGTCCAGAAGTCAGCATGATTCACACAGAGGTCTCATAAAGATTCAGTGCATCATGGCAGTGAGCACAAGCCCCAAACTAGAAGAAAAGCTGCTTATTTGTATGTTGCCAAGTCACAGCAGATCTGGGGAGGTGCCTCCCAAAAACAAGAACCACCCAGCTGTGTCCCAGGCTGCAGTTTGAAGCCAGGAGCTCTGCTTTAAAACAAGTACAACAACAACAACAAAAGATTATAACATCTGATATTGGGGCTGGTTTTGTTTCTGCTTCCCCAATAACCAAATCATCATGTGAGTATTGAACTAGAATCATGCTAGATGTAGAGGGCATGGGTAAGAGTAGATCCCGTGTAGGATCCACACTAGGAGCCGTAATTGAGACACATGCTCTGGCACTACAAAATCGAAGTGAACTCTGTTTCAGCTGCCCATGGGATCTAGTCTCTGCAGATGCCATGCTGTCTGGGGTGAGCTCTACTTGGTCTTTAGGAGGACTAGGTGGATGTTTGCTCCATTACCCAGCCCTGATCTGTCAGGATGGATCTTCTGTATAGTGACAAGCTAGAAGGAGCGGTCAAAGCAGTTTTGATTTGTTTCGTTCATGAGAGTTTTGTAGTTGTGCCTCTTAACTTTGACCTGTGGGAATAGTGCGCCTGAGACTGATCAGTTTGAGCTCCTCTACTGGTCTGCAATCTGTCTATATACTTGACACATCTTACTACAAGGGCTTGAGAAATCCACTCTGTTAGGTTTCCCATGTGAATGCTGGTGACTTAATGTATCACTTCTCATTTAGAATATGTAGTTCATAATTGTCAGTGGAACTACCCAAAACTGAGGCATGGACTTAATCACTGCTCCATCAAAAGCTTTGCCTGAACTTGAAAGGCTTTTGTTAACATACTTATATCATCTCAGCTGTATTACAGATCTTTTGTCTTACTAAGATAAGATGCAGCTTCTATTCATGGCTTATTTTACTGGGCAGATTCACCTTCTCCTGTGAGTAATACTGGCTTTACTCTTTCACTTTAGTATCAGTGCTGCCTTGCAGAAGGAGGAAAAAGAAACCATTACATCTTGGACACTGTGATAGCAAAACCAAGGGGTAGATCTCAGTCTGGACAAGCCAGTGGAGAGTTTCAGCACATCTTGTGCTGAAGCTTTAGGAAGGGTTTAGAGTTCAAAAGCTGGACCCATTTGCACCCCCTTATATTCACAGTGTCCCCATAGTTCATGCTCTGAAGGGGATGAACTGGAGGATTAATTACTTACCTTTGGCTGCTGGCCTGATGTCTCAGGCTAGTGTTTAGCTAATCCCAGGTTTTTAACTGAGGAATTTAATTACCAAAATTGTCTTCTATCTAGACCTTAGCCTTATGAACCAGACCATAGCAGAACCATAGAATATGAGGTTGGAAGGGACCTCAAGGATCATCTGGTCTGACCTTTCTTGGCAAAAGCACAGTCTAGACAAGCTGGCCCAGCACCCTGTCCAACTGAATCTTAAAAGTGTCCAGTGCTGGAGAATCCCCCTGGGGAGATTACTCCAGCAGCTGATTGTTCTCATGGTGAAAAATTTTCCTATTGTGTCCAACTGAAATCTCCCCAGGATTAACTTGTACCCATTACCCCTTGTCTTTTTTTGTATGATTCCTTGTAAAAAAGAGTCTCCATCTTCTTTATAGCCACCCTTTAAATACTGAGACATGGTGATAAGGTCTTCCCTAATCCTTCTTTTCTTAAAGCTGAACAAACCCAATTCTCAGCCTTTCCTCAGAAGACAGGCTTCCCAGTCCCTTGATCATCTTTGTGGCTATCTTGTGGACCTTCTCCAGCTTCTCCACATCTTGTTGTTGTCCACCAGGATCCCCAGGTCCCTTTCCACAGAGCTGCTCCCTAGCCAGGGAGATCCCAGCCTGTGCTGCACTCCTGGATCATGTCTTCCCAAGTGCAAGACCTTACACTTGAACTTCATAAGGTTCTTTTTAGCCAGTCTAGCCAGGTCTTCCTGCACAGTGGGTCTCCTTTCCAAAGTGTCCACTTCCCCACTCAGTTTGGTATCACCAGCAAATTTTGTCAGGGTACACCTGATGAAGATATTAAACAGTGTTGGGCTCGATATTGATTCCTGTGGGACTCCACTTGTGATAGGTTGCCAGTATGAAAAGGAGCTATTTCCCACCACCCTCTGGGTGCAGCCTGTCAGCCAGCTCCCCACGCACCACACAGACCTCTTGTCTAGACCATAATGCACCAATTTGTCCAGTAGGAAGCTGTGGAGAACCACATCGACATCCTTGGAGAAAGCCAGATCAACAATGTCCACTGCTTTCCCCACATCAACTGAGCAGGTTACTTATTTATGGAGAGCAATGTTTGTCAAGCACAGTTGGCCCTAGCTGAATCCTTGCTGGCTTTTCCCAGGCACGTGCTTTGTTTGACTTGTGATAACTCTCAGGAGGATTTGTTCCATAATTTTCCCAGGGATTGAAGTAAAAGCGATGGGCCTATAATTTCCTGGATCCTCCTTTAAGCCCTTCTTGTAGATGGGGGTGACATTAGCCTTCTTCCAGTCTTCTGGGAAATCCCTCAATCTCCAAGACTTCTCAAAGGTTACAGAGAGCAGCACCACACCATCAGCCAGCTCTCTTAGCACCCTTGGGTGGACAACATTGGGGACTATCAATTTGTAGGAGTTAAGCTCCTCTAATAGGCTGGGTTATGGTTCCACATATATGTAGGGTGTTTGCAATGTCCTCCTCTGCCTTGAGAAAAGCTTGGAAGAGCACTGTTTCCCCATTATTATCCTACACTGGTGATAGAGCAGAAGCATTGCTAGAAGGTCTGTGGGTCATTATTTCCTGGTTGGGTTTATGCCCCTGCACATTGAGCTCAAAAACTACTTTGAGATGGTGCATCTCCAGGATTGTGATGAAGGCCGTGGGGTCTGTAGGGGGTGGCGTTCCCATGTCTTCCTCCTTGTTTTTTTTGCTGTTTAAAGAATCAGACTTTTTCATGTATTTGTGCTGGAGCTTCCCTTAGCCTGGCTCAGTGTCCTCAAATTGGTAGGAGCTCAGTCCCTACCAAGAGGAGGGGAAGAGGAAGTGTTAGTGGGTGAGATACAGCTGGAGATGCTGATAGGACTTACTTGCTGATAGCTAATGCAGAGCAGGTACTATAAGTGTATTTAGGCTGCCTTCCCTTAATGTCCTTGCATGTTCTCCCCCATCAGCCCTTAGATAGCATCAGGCTGCAGCCCTCATCCATCTCAGAGGGTGAAGCAGTTTATCCTGCCACCTGCTTTTCCAATGATTTGGCCTTCCTGCTTTGAAGCTGCTTTCCAATGTCTGAGTGTTCCTAATGCAACTGCAAAACCTGCTTTCCACCCTTCATTTCCAGCCTGGATATAATAGCTTTTATTAAAAGACTTAAAGAAATAGATTTAAAATAGATTTAATAAATAGATTTATTAAAAGACTTAAAGAAACAGCCCTGTTAATGCTGAAGCTCAGCTTACACAGCTGCTTGCATAAAACACTTCCTCTTAAGTATATTTAACCTCAGATTTAAATGCCTGTCCTGTGTTAAACAGCATTGCCAGTTACCGTAACAGGTTGAAGCTTTCCATAAATTTTTTTGGCTTGCCCATGAATGTTAAAGCAATCCACTGTGTGCAGGACCTGTACTGGGAGTGCTGGACACAAAATTCGGAGGCCAGAACTACACCAAGCGATGTAGCTGAGATGGTATCAAAAGAAGTTGAATGCAGAAAGTATGAAGCTGTTATAAAGTAAAATAAATAAATGGGGCCTTTACCCTGATAAATATTTCAGGATTTCAAGATTACTGTTTTCTCTCACATTTATAATGTCTTTAATTTTATTGAGTCTTCCGGTGATGTTGCTGCGTGCAAAGATGTATGCAAGGGGTGACAGGGCATGTTTTGTAATGATGTCACGTAGGCATGCTGCTGCTGCCCAAATGTCTGCTTTCTCTGAAAGTCTGTTCTAAGCATCACTATCTGTTAACAGGAATTGGAAAGTAAAGGTAAATAGAGCTGGGCAAAGCTTACACTACAAACAAGTGCTGATAACTTCCTGTATAGATTGCTGTTGAATTTTGGAGCTAGGCAGTCATTCAGTGAAATCATGACTTGTGCTATAGCGGTGCTAGCAATGAAGAAGGTCAGCACTTCCCTGTCTGAAACCATGGGGAGCTTTGTGCAGTGGAGGCTGCCATCCTCAGATGATATGGTGGTACTAGAGGAGGTCAGAAAGATAGTAGAGATGTCAAGATGATGGGACAGATGAGGTACAAGGACTGCCTAAGCATCCTTCCCCAGTGATATCTTCTCCAGGAGAGTTTGCTGTCAATCATGAACAATGTGAAGAAGGTGAAGGGGGAGTGATTGCTCAAATTACCTAGCAGAGGAACTGGAGGACACTGAATGATATGATAACTGGCAGCTTCAGAACACAGAGAGAGATGCTCCTTGACAGATGCAGCTGTGCATTTCTGCCACAGATTGCTAGGGAGGCCAAGAGCTTGGTTCAAACACCAGACAGGTTCCTGGAGAAAAAATTCATCTCCAGCTGTAGCACACACAGGTACCAACGCTGGCTCAGAGTTGTGGAGCTGCAGTGTGCTGGCAGCTGACTCTTGCCCTTTGTGCTTGCCAGAGCTGGTATCAGATTAGACACTGCTTCATGTTTTGTGGTCCTGATAATGGATTTTATTATTTTAGTGTATTTTTTAACATCATTGGTACCATATTGCAACTGAGAGCTATTGGCCTTATTAGATTAGGAGGATTGCCTTTGTGCTGCTGGCATACAGAAGGCATTTTATATGTTCTGCCTGCCTGTTCATAGAGGAAGAAATAAAAGCTGTGTGTTGGCACAAAGGTTATTTTCATATATCTCTTTGCAGTAGCTGCTGTGATAGGTAGCACATTAAGCTAGTGAAACTCCTTATAGATCATAGGATAAAATTGTTGTGTCCAGTAGATTCAAGACATTTCTGAAATAAATGGTGCTCTGAATCTTCATTTTTTGTTCCCCAGCCTTTTTTTGTCATGGTGTGGATAATGAAACCGAATGTGTCTGAGATACCTCCTCAAACACTTGCATTGAATAGAAGCACTACCATAAAACATGATTATCTTATGCTGAATGGAAGATAGTGTTTGCTTGCCCCAGTGAACTGCTGCAACTTATTATTTTGAGGCTTACACTTTGTTAAATGCATGAACTTCACTGGAGAACTGGGAAGAGCCAGCTCTTTGCCATCAGTGATGCTCTTCTCTGTTGCATCTCTAGCTGCAAGTGTTGAATATGGAACTAAAAGATGTTTTTGTTTTCCTTTGTAGGTAAAAATCTCTACACCAATGAATATGTAGCGATCAAACTGGTGAGTAGAAGCTTCAAGTGTTCTTAAAGACTTGTACTTAATATTAAAAAATCAGACAAAAAGCAACTTTCTCACTTCGGGCTTAATGCTGCTCTCACCCTCAGCTAGGATAACTTATTTAAACTAAGATAAATTCTTGAGAACACTAAAATCAAGGAAGGAACCCCTCCCTCCACCTGCGGAACACTTTTGGTACCGAAGAGGTCTGTTGATATCTTACACTAGTGCGTGAGCCTTGTTCCTCATTCCAAGCTGGCTGCCTTGTCCCAGGGAACAGTACTGATCGCAGGTTTGCCGCCTCGTCCCACTCCCTGGGTTGAGCCTTTCTGTTCAGGACACCACTGATTCTGCAGACCCTGACCGCTCTCCAGATGGGCTGTTGTCAGAGCATTTGGTTAGGAGTGTGGCACTGTGCTGCTACATGGTTTTGGAGTTCTGAGGCAGGAAAGAGAGTATTTCAATGGTTAAAATTTCCTTAGGATAGAACAACACAGCTCAGTCTGGTACAATGCTGAGACTGCAGATGCAACAGGCAAAACAATGTCCAGTCCAGCAAAGGTTAGTCTTTCCCCTAGCTTACTTGGGTGGCTAAGGATATATAACTACAGCATCTTCAGAACTATTTTCCCCTTCTATGTCATAGGATGATAAAAATGAATTGTCTTACCAACGCATTGTAGGAGTTGTGTTAAAAAACCCAAGCCCCAACAGTAGTGAACTTAAGAACTTACTTAAGCAGTTTCATTCACATCTCTGGTGTTACAAGCCTTGGTACCAGTTATCCGGTTATTTTCTGCCCTGCAGTTGATGTAGCCCTCCCCAAGTGCACGCAGTGACAGCTTCCATGTTTCTTATACCTGAACCAGCAAGTGGTCCAGGTAAAAAGTGTTTTTCTGAAGACTGCTTCAGGGCCTGAAGACACTGTGGTCAATGGTGGTTTGAAGTAGGTGTCTGGAGGATGGGGAAACTCTCTAACTTGTAGCTCTTTCAGATTTATAAAACCGTGGCCCAGTAGTTTATGTTTATGCCTTTTCCTATCTGTAAACTAAGGCTGTCATTAGTTTCTTGGGGTTTTCAAAATTGATGTCTTCAACTGATGTGCTCTTTTCTCACCAGTATGCTCTTTAATCACAGATACAAACCCTAGAATCTGAAGTTAGAGTTGTAATGCTAATTTGATATTAGCTGCAAACACACCCCTTTGGCCAGTTGATGTTGTTTGCCAAAATGACAGGAGTCATTCAGATTACAGAAGATCAAGATGGACTTGGTGCATTAATTCTGATCACATTCAAGTGCCACAGATTTTATATCTCTGGTATTCTCCTTATATGATGCATAGTAGATAAAAAATAATGAGGGCTTTACAGGAGGGACTGGTTTTCAAGCCTGATAGCAAATGTCAGAAGATATTCCCTAAAATAAACAAACACCTGCAATTAGAGCTTAGGATGTCCTTGATACAGATCCACGTCAGGAAGGAGGTCTGGTGCTTGTGGAGGAGCTCCCTTTTTAGACAGATATGACAGTACAAAATGCACTGTGCACACAGATGAGGTGGTTTTTTGAATTAATAATGTTTCTAATTTGCTTTCAAAGATAATCCCACAAAGTTACAGCATTGGAAGGCCTAAAGAAGTAAATAATACAGGAAAAACACAACTGTATTAGTCCAGAGGATGCTTGTTTCTCTCAAAACAGTGCCTGCAGTGAAACCTCCCAGTCACCTGAAACCTTTCAATAGCCACATGGCAGAGCTGAATGGCATTACCTTTATTGCTACCTTAACCTTACTTATTTTTTTCTGGTAGCATTCTTTCTTTCTTCCTTCTCTAAATATCTGAGTGTTAAAGCAGTTACTCTGCAACACACTCTAGTTTTATTTGCCCTGCTGTGATTCATGATCAAAAATCTGCTCCTTCATGTTTGAAGGACTGGAATTGCCATCCGGTGGCCATCCAGGCATTTGCATAACTGCTCTGTTTTTGAGAAGATGAATGATGGAGCAGTAGAAGAGATGGAGGTTTTTTGGTCTCCTAATCTTAGACCATATTCCCCAAGAACAAGAATTACTCAGTTATCTCAGCAGCAAATACGCTTCTCTGTACTTAACTATAATTTTCTTTATCCTTCGAATAATTTTCAGTGAGTGGTAGAGTAGCTGCTTTCAGTGTACTTGAAGGCAACATTTCCTTTTATCTGCACTGTTGGACCAAGTCAAAACTCCACGTCATTCTGTGTGAGAGAGTCTTCTGCAGCTGCAGCCCCTCTGTCTTAGCTATTTGTGCTTCCTGTCACGATGTTAAAGCTGGAAAATTAGAGAATTGTGTGATGGATGCAAAAAAGCTGATCAGAAAGGGCTGTGAAATTCAGTGTTAACATCTCATGATTTCTTTTCGGGGGTGAGGATTGTGCTGCACCTTGGAAAATTGCTGGCAGTGGAGAATAGTGCCTGTGTTCTGACTTGTGTGGTGTCACCATTTAGCTCCTTGTCCTGCTCTTCAGCTCAACATTGTTTGGTTAAGGGCACCTTAACATGGAGGAGTTCGTCTTCTGAAATGCCTTAGCCATATTTACTGATTTAATCTTCTGAGGGTTTTTAATGCCAAATTGCACATAGTAGGAATTTCTTCCCTGTGTGAAACCAGCCCGTTGACATAGCGATGTAGTCTGAGTGCAGGTACCAAGCTGTACCCTCTAGTAGTCATCATGATGCCATTGGTTCAAGCTGTGGATTTTGTACATTAGGCAGTAGCAGTTCAGTTATTTTCGCTACAAACACAACATCTGCCAGCATCCTTAAGCCTTTGGCCTACAGGACAACCATCTGTTCTGGTATGATCTTCTTGGAAGCTGCCTCTACTTTGGCAAGCGTCCAGAGCTCAGGCTCCAGCAGCTCCTGATGCAGAAGTGGTTTGGGCATACTTTCCCTGATTTTGTCACAAGCAGCCTCATGTTGTGATACATTAATCCTTCTACCTTTATCTGAGCAGCCTGAGTTCCTGTTGCCCTAGATCCCTTTTCTGTACAGGTGTCTAAAGACTCCCTCAAGCCACCATCAACAATTATCTTAATTTAAATGTGACTGCTATAACAGACTTGGTTTTGTGATGCTTTATATTTGTCTTCGGTACAAATTCAGATTTGCCTTCAGAATCTTTTTCACCATTGTTTTCTAAGTAGTTGGTCATATTTGATTTTTGAAGCTTTTTAAATATCAGTAAGTTGAAAAGCAACTGGGAACATTTTTCCCCTTGCTGACAAATGGATGAGATGACTCGAGCTGATGATGAACAACTTGGCTGGAGGTTGAATTACCTGAATGCCTGTACAAAAATTGTTCTTGCAGCTTAAAAAGAAGTCTTTAACATGGAGTTTATAGCAAATGTAGACATTAGTCTTACAGTACAGACCAGAGGTGATACAAGACAAAGTGGATCAGCTAAAGCCTTCATGTCCTTCCACACAGGCAGAAGAGTTATTCCACTGTATTGAAGATGTTGGCTCAAACTCTTGTCTATGTCCAAGATGCTCTTACTCCAACTGATAGGAGCTGTTGTGAAACACAAAATTACTTTTTTTGTGTTGATCTTAAAGGGCTCCTTTATAGGCAAACTTCTAGATGATGAGCTCATCCAATAGAGGGCTCTTTAGCAAGTTTTTGAAATTCAGACTAATTTTGGTGCATGCTGCAATTTTCATGTAGTTTTGAGCATGGAACGTTTCTTTTCTCGAAAGCAAGGAAATAGGCAACATCCAAATAACAATCAAGACCAGTATTAACTTCTATTTCAACAACATCTGGGCAGTAGGTGAATCTGCATTACTTCCTGTCCCAAGTGCACAGTTTTATTGTGTAATTACTTAAGTCTCTTAATCCTCTCTATGTTAACTCTAAAGTTTTAGAAGCTTTGTAATATTGCATGTTAATGCTTTTGTGGAACATAGGCATTGTTTTGTGCATAAAGTGCAGGTGAGTAACAGTTGAGAAATATAATGTGTGGGATGCATTGCAGACTTATCCTTTTTTTTAATTCTGTGTATAAAAATAGAATATTCTGGAGTGCCTTGAGATATTTGAGTGACACCTGCTACTGAAAATGGAGACTTCTTCCTGTGTTTTTACAGGTATCTGGCTGCACTGTAGTGCTTGCAAGCAAGATTGTATGTTTCTACAACTGTGGTCTGACTTAAAACACAGATATATGACTCAATATTTTTCAGAAATATAGGCTAGTGATCAACTGTGGGCAACCACAGTCCACAAAGTGAACTTGAGACTTGATCCTTTCCAACCCTGACTTTCCTCCTACCAACGTCCAGGGTCACTCTTCAAGGACCAGGAGCTTTGTTGAACAACTCTTGAATATTACTGCCACAAATGAACTTTGTCTTTAAATGAGGCAGTTATTTCTCTTCCAGAGTGCAAGTCTTACTGCTTTTTGTTCTCTACTTACTTAAATGACATCTAACAGTAAAGTCTGTTGTTAGACTTCCAGTCTAGGGTGTTTTATCTTGAAACTTGAAGCATTATGTACAGTCACAAATCTTCAAGTATAGGATAGAACTTTTTTCAGTCAAACTGATTTTAACCAATTTTTTTTTTCTGTTTTAGGAACCAATAAAATCACGTGCACCACAGCTTCATTTAGAATACAGGTTTTATAAACAACTTGGAAGTACAGGTGAGTAAACCTGCCTTAAGCTTATAGAAAGTTTGTGATTTCTTTATTGTCAAACATCACTATCATATTTGTTGTGCAACTCTTACTTGAACTTAGTGATCTGGGCAAATTCTTTTATCATCACACAAGTTTTGAAAGGGGTTTGGTCAGAATAACATCATAATGATACTGGGTAATCATGTGGACCTGGAAACTTGAGTTACTGAGGATTGACTCATGTAGGAAATACCCGTGTGTGTTTGTAAAACATAGGAATCTTTGATGGAGGGAAAGTTATTTATGTATAGAGTGACAGAGTTCAAAAAGGTGATATAGTCTTAAAATCTAGGAAATAGTGTAAGAAGCATAGGCTGTTCTGATAAAAACCTGAAATACTGTTTTCATTGATACTTACACTCTTAAGAGTGTCCAAAAGCCCATGAGCTCAGTATCCTCTGTGACAGCAGTCTACAGCAAGTGTGAGAAGAATATCACAGGGTAAGCTAAAGGTGGTTTTCATTTTTTTATTTTTTTCTGGCAAGCTCTCTGATTTCCCTAATATGGGGCTTGAGCTTGTGTTTAATAGTAGATTTGGATTTTAATTCCCTGCATTTACAGTTGCTTTTTAAATCTATGTAGACTTCTAATATGTGCTGTTTCCCACGTCAAGGATTTCCACAGCCTTGACTACCTGCTGTTTGAGGAAGTCTCTCTGAAGCAAAGACCTTCTCTGCTCCTTCTGTGCCTCAATCATATATTGACCTTGGGCTTTGGCAATTTTCCTGTTACTGCAATTTTTTTTACACATCCTTCTGATTTTATTTTTCCTGTTTTCCCTGGATGGACCTAGCCTCTACTAGCAGAGGATATGCTCTCATATTACCAAAATGCTAAGTTGAGCAGAGTGGAAGATAGATCTGCTCTGAGCTCATAATATGCTGTACCTGAGCAGTAGTCCTGCATTTTTCCTTTTTGCTTGTTCCAATTAATTTTTCTGATTGGTTTCCTTAATTTTGTGTAGCACATCCTCTGGAGGCTAGGTGCTATTGCACTCTACGTTTTGTGGCTTTGCTCCTACAGGATGCAAAGTCTGGGATGTGGGAACTAAGTTAGTTGTCACTATTGGAAACACTAAAATATTGTTGGGGGAGTTTTTTGAACAGAACTTGTCCACTGACGTAAGGTGCTCTTTGCTATGTATTTTGTATTTTGGCAACAACATCTGGTACTGTGCAAAAGCTCCTGATATGTTAATGTCATCCCTTAACCCCAGTTACCCGTGCTTTTGAGACTTTAGGCATTTCTGCTGAAGCCTGTGTAGTAAATAAATCAAACGTAGGTTCACAGAATATGACACTTATTTCTGCCTCTCACTCCCCACTTGAGTTCAGTTGACGCTTGCCATCTCTGTGATAACCCAGAGAATGAATCCCAATCTACTTTTTCTATACCCATCAGCTTTCTACCACTCTTTAAAAGTGTTATTGAGGAATTTTAAGACTGATCTAATGTTGGAGGATTGGCTTAAGTATTTTTAATGGGTTTTCTCTACTTCCTAATGAATGACTTTTCTTAATGACTTTTCATCCTACAACACTTACCCACGCAGGACATTTCTGCCTGGTCTGATACTGTGCACACTAATGGATGTATTTTTGAGTATGCCGCTCAAAAATTTCTCCTGATTTCTCTTCCCTTCATTCTAGGGGGGGAGCAACTGTTATCTCAAGCCTTTTTGCCGGTATTTGTCAAGAGACTGGTGAGAAGCCTCGCGACAAACATGACTTTTATTTCTGTCTCTGTGTGAGACATGGCAAACCCAGCTCTGATAATCTGTTGAACGCTATTAGAAGCTCTTATGCTACAGTTTTGCTAAAACAACTGAAAATAGTCCAGGAGCTCGGGTGGAGGTTGTGAGCCACATCTCTGGTCGCTTCATGAAACTTGGAAGCTGAACAAAATAAATTCTGGTGGAGTCAGACAGCCAGGATGAGGGAGCCTTAACTTGGTGTCTGTATGCCGTGCTTAGAATTAGGGGAAGACTGTCTGTCTTAAAACAGATTGGTGCTAAATATGTGCTTACTTTGGGGAAATAGATGGGTCTGTTCTCAGTGATGTTTTTATTGTCGGGCTCCCCTTAATGGTCCTTGCTTAAAAACTTCAACTGCTCAGACAGCCTTGAACTTCCAGTAAGCAGGACTGGTTATTTGCAGTTATCATAGACTCGCCAATGAAGACTAAAAGTGTCCAAACCCATGGTGTGTATGACTCAGATGAGAACAACAGTAGTGTTGCATGTGACATACTGTTCAATAAATTAGCCAATTAATCTTGCCAAATAACGTGGCTGACTGCAAACCTCCCACCGCTAGCCTAAAAAGTGAGACTAGTGAAAGCATTGCTTAGCACTGCAGTAGCAGCGTGGTCCTCTTGTTAGTGCAACCGCTGCGTTCAATTGCATGTACAACCAGATGGTCTCAGTGAGCAGCGCCTCTATGAGAAGTCAGAATTGTCACTGCCTGCAGCATTTGGAGAAAAAAAAAATAATTTCCTGATGAGAAGGATTTTCATGGTGATTTCCTTCTTCCTGGATGTTCGGAATAAACAATTTTAAATATTACTCTTGGATACTAATCATTGAAGAACTTAAGTTGGCAGAGACCATGGATCAAGTAGGAACCTTCATGTAGGATGCCTTTGTGTGTCAAAAAGTGTATTTCATCTCTAGTATGTAACTGGATGTGTCCTCATGAGGTTAGGACTAGCGTGCTAGCATAGCCAAACAGAAAGGAAGTGTTTTGTGGTAGTCAACCTGTCAGAAGAATGGTCTTGGATGCTAAAGACTTCAGAAAGCTTGGTCATGACTTGCTTGCAACATACCAGATCAAAAACCATAACCTCCAAACTCGGGAGCCTAAAAAGACATTTCATGCGTTTTTATTAAACCCGCTGTGGAAGCCCAACCAGTGTTGTTAAGGGAGCATGAAGTGCTTGATCACACTGGTAGGATAAGTGCTACTTTTGAAGAGAAATTTGCACCTAGCTTTGTAATGCCAGAGCCTGGTCCTGCGGTATGTTACACGGAATACTTTTAGAATAATTATACAGTTCAGTGCCTGAAGGATGTATGTTAGTATTTATTACCTTATTTATTTATTTATTACTTTATTTATTACCTTATATTTATTTATTACCTCCTTTCTTTTTCATTGAAAACTAGTGAAATTAATACTTTTTTTTAAAGCTATTCAGTCTAGTTTTGCATTTTCTTTGGTATAGTTGAACAGAGTAGCAAGTAACCCAATAAACCATGGCTCTGCCAAATGTTTATTCCTGGGATGAGCTTCTGTTTGAGATGTTTCCACGTGAACAGGGGAAGCAGCAGAGTTGTGTGATAGCTGCCTCTTCCTTTTGCAGCTACTCTGTGGCTTCCTGTGGCACATGCTCTATCAACATCGATGTTTAAAGACTTTCTGACAAGGCACCAAAGTTGCATGTTACCTTCCATCAGCACCAGCTTCTTTACCTGCCATGTGATTCATCTGAAGATCACTGAATTAGCTGAGGAGAAGACTGGATTTCTTGTGTCTCCATACATCTTTTCCTATTAGATTATTCCTGTCTCCATACAGCATATTTCCTATTAGATTAAGATATACTGGAGCAGTGGAAAGTTTGATAAAGGGATGTAAACTGTATGAATGTAGCTCTTTGTGGTGCTTCTCAGAATAGCTCAATACCAGTGGATATATCAAATGGATTCTGAATTTAGATTTAGCTAACCAAGATAGTCTTGGTCAGAAGAACCAACTAACAGGCATCTCTGATGCTCTTCTGCAAGAATTGATGCTATCTTTGATGTTTCAATCCTTCCCTGCAGTAAGAGAAAGTAATAGCTCCCCTATAGTTTCCCACCTTGCCTCTCTATATACAGGGGTGTTTGCTTATAGAAATGTGTGTTCTTGATTCTTCCCTGAACTTTTCCACCCACCCAGAAGAAGCAGCAAGGACCTGCTGCACAGTGACCATCTGCTGGTTTCTTCTTTTTCGCTGTGGAATTAAATATTTAATAACCTAAAATAGTGTATGACCACTTTACCTCAATGTACAAAAAAAAAAAAAAAGCAAACCACAGGCATGGAGTCAGACCTGATGGTCAGCCCGTATGGTGTCTCAGGAAATGACAAGAATTCCCTTAGGTTTTAGGTAGTCTGGGATATGATCCGTTTACTGGAGCAGTTTTAACAGTCTCCGTGCAAACAAGTTGTGTTACTCTGTCATCGATCCTGTAAGATACCACTGTCATAATGAACTGTTTCATGGTTGTCTTTGTTGTAAAATCCATGTGTGCGTACACAGGCATCCTGACATAGAGGATTCATCCTGGCCTGAGCCTTCCGCATGATCTCGCTTTACTAGAGGTGGCATAGTAAGTCCTGAATTATTTTTTTCTTGCTAGCACTTACCTGTTTAGGAACACAAGTAGCATGGCTATCCACAAGAAGTCAGGTGTGATGAGTATTGCCCAAAATTAGGCTTGTGCTCTATGACCCTCTTTGAGGATTGCCTGTTCCAGGTGTTCCCCTCCTCCCCAAGGCTGGTTTCCCCAGTTGCTGGTCTTCCTTGCTCTGAGGCTTAGCACAGGTACTTGCATCTGCTTCCATACCTCAGCGACAAGAGGAGCTCCTCTCCAATTTGATGCTTTTACAGCTCTTAGAGCTGCCAGAAGCAGTTCAAGTCTCCAGCATGTTTCCGGTGTTGGATCAGTCACTTGAGTATATCATTTGTTGCCTGTACTTGAAGTTTGTGGAATAAAGGCTTGGCTTCTTAGCATTCATAAAAAATCTTGAATAATCAGACCCTACAGCTTGCATGATGATGAGTGGAGGAGCTCCATCCTCACCATTGGCTGATGTTTGAGTGTCTGGTTCCCCATAATATTGGGGTGGAGAAGATGGTGTTGCCAGAGCAAAACTGAGTTACTTTGGGCATGGCCAAACAGACCCAGCTCCTAGGGCCTG